CGATATCCAAACAGATGTATAATAATGCTCCAATAGATGCTTTCCGCAGGGTGCTACAGTGTTTTGCTTTTTAGCGAAACAGAGTGAAATCTGCACCTAGAAAGTACCATCAGTCTGTCTGTACGGAAGGAAATGAATATCTGTATCTGACGTTTCAACTTTTCTCAAAACCATAGCTGGGCAGTCCAGAAATTAACAACATGTAAAACGAAACGTTACTTAGCACGGAATTGCCCTTTGTAGGAAACAAAGGAAAATAAATGCGAATCGCCGACCAAGTAATATCCTTATATTGAACGAAAGGAAATAAAATTATGCACATGATGAGCTGACAAAAATATAACATTCCGTTAAAAAAAAAATAGTTGTGCCTGTTCGAAACATTTTATTTTGAGTGGTACATAAATTTGAAAAGATCATATTTGCGTTAATAGTGGGAATAGTAGGCAATTTGAGGGTAGTAGTAAATGGTAGAGAAAAAGTAAGGAACCATAAAAAGTTAAAATGTGATTGTTAAGAAAAGCATTATAGACAATTACGTATGTATTGCAAATATGGTAGAAGGGAAAAGGACAAGGAAATTTGCATGTATGGTATAGGATGATGAGTAAATATTATTTTAACATGTTAAACATTATATTTTGTAGGATAAAATAAAATTGTATGTAATAGAAGGCTGAACCGCGTCATGCGAGATGAGGAATAGTCTGGCGCGATATAATAAAGAGGGGACTGGAAAGTCTATGGCATGGCAAAATTTGACGAGAGACAAATCACCGGTGATGTTTACGGTTTTGTTCATAACGAAGTAATTAATTACCTTTCCGGTTCATAAGATATCTCTTAAGACCTATTATCATTCCACTTCTGCTTAACTCTCTAATTTTGTTAACCAAGTTGCATTAAAGTATTTTAAATAAGTAAACATACAATGCGCACATCTATGTTGGAAGGTACCTTAATTAAGAAAATCTTTATTTCTCAATGTCAACCGTAATTTGCATAGGATTTGTAATCTATTTAGTTATTAGTTTGAAACACAGTAATTGTTATGTTTAATAAAATGATTGCTTAGGTATAGGAAAGTTGGCAAGTGGTATAAATTTAATTTTTATAAAATTCTGTTTTTTCTAAATGAAAATCCTTTCATATTATGAGATATTCTGCCAATTTCAAATATATGTGTGGAGTTATGTAACCAAGTACTCCACGTTTACAACAAAATCAACTCAAGACTGTAACAACCTTAAATACCTGACCTTCTGGAGTACGCGAATGGACACTAACGAAATATAAGCAATTAAGCATTTCATTGGTTACATGTATAAATTAAGCATTAATAGTGGCGTGGGTCTTCCAGGCTATACTTTCATATTTATTTATTGGTGTCGAACAGGTAAACAAATAAAACTAAAAAATAAAGCTTCGATAGATCCAAAGTAGAAAAAGGAGACTGTAGTAAAAAATAATAATTAATTAAAAAATTAAAAAGATGACTCCACGCGTTGATAATGCCCACGTATGAAGTGGGCGAAACACGTGTCCACTCAAAAAGTTTTTGTGGTAATTAGGGTGAGTCTTCTTTTTAATTTTTTTATTAACTTCGATAGACGTTTATTTATTTAATCGAGGAGATTGGCAGTGACAGTGATCGTCAATAGTGTAGGACCATTATACTTACGTTGTATTTATTTATTTTATTTTTTATTTATTTATTAACAGGTGTAATTAAGTATACAGATATTATTCACATAGTTAAAACGAAATCACTAAATAACATAGCAACTGTACTCCGATCATAAGATTGGGTTACTCAGTTCGCCCGCTCTATGATCAGGGTAAAGGGCGCCTGTTTCTCGTTTAACACAATAAAACAATAATATCTCCGCAGAAGGCAATTTGCCCGTGCGCGGACCTGCTAAGTATATCTCTTAGTTTTAATATCACAACATTCTCTCAGGTAGCATATAAAAATTTTCCATGTTACATAAGAAATATACAAAAATAATCGAAGAAAAGAAAACAATTCTATTTTTTAATACATATAAAAGTAAAATATTTTCAAGCTCCTAATATTTCACAAATCTGTATGAAATAAACTTTTAACAGATGGAGGTGATAAGTCAATAATCCACTTTCTTATCGTTTTGTCACTAATAAGAGTAGTGATCTGTTTTTCTTTTAATTCATTTGGCAATAGATTAAAAGTTTTATTTCCTATATATTTATGATTCCGTCTATCGATTTGCTTTAGCACTTTAGGTGCTTGGACAATTCGACGTCTCGATTGACTTTCTTTCAATTGTTCATACGCATTTTGCAATGATTTAAAATTCCGAAATAGAGATTTCTCGATAAAATATTTTCTCACACTTATTATAGTTTGTTCTTTATATAAATCCTCGGAAGAGTAAAATGGTGGCTTATTAAAAATAAGTTTGATTAATTTTTTTTGTATGATAAGAAGTGGACTCATTGACGTATCATGAGCTCCTCCCCATACAATAATACCATATGTTACAATCGACCAGAACAAACCATAATAAATTGTTAACAATTGTTTGCTAGTAAGGATTGATTTCAATTTGTAAATGAGGTAAATTATAAATCGAGATTTTTGTATTACTTTTTTCACGTGTTCTGTCCAGTTTAAATTTGAGTCTACTATTACACCTAGATACTTGGTATGTGATACTCGATTTATCTGCGAACAGTCGCATGTCCGAGGATCACAATTCAAGTCATGTATTGAAATGTTTGTATCAAGCGGTAAACTATTTCTGTAACTGCCAAAAGTCATATACACGGTTTTTTGTACATTAAGAGAAAGGTGGTTCAACGATAACCATTTTTTTACTTCATTAATCACCACATTGGCAGTTGCTATTGCTTGTTCCCAAGTTTTTCCTTTAACAATTAGTACTGTGTCATCAGCGAAAGATACAATCTCACAATCTATGTCCATCATAAGCATACTGTTTATATACAAAATAAATAAGATGGGGCCTAATATCGTGCCCTGCGGAACACCACAGCGTACAGTCTTTTCATTACTATATACATGATCTATTTTAACAATTTGTTTCCTATTATCTAAGTAACTATATAGGAGATCGTACGCTTTACCTCTAAAACCTAGTTTATATAATTTTCGCAATAAAAAGTTATGATTTACAGTATCAAACGCTTTTGCAAGGTCTAGAAATATTGCTACACAAGGTGTTGTTTTACTTATTGCATCATGAACTTCATCAAATACTTTGACAAGTGCATCATCAGTACTTTTTCCAGCCTGGAAACCGTATTGATTTTGACTAATAATATTATGCTGTTCTATATAACTATTTATTCTCGTTTTCAACAATTTTTCTAATATTTTTGCAAAGTTTGATATATGTGAAATTGGACGGTAATTAGTTGTTTTATTTTTATCACCTGATTTGAAAATAGGTACAATTTCAGCTTTTTTAAAATTCCAAGTTCTAAGCACCGATTCATAATGTGAGTTAAGGGCTTACATATAAAATTAGAAACAATCTTTAGAGTTTTGGCTCGTATGCCGTCAATACCAGATGCTTTATTACTATTTAATTGTGAAATATTTTTCAAAACTTCTATTTCAGTGGCAGGACATAAAAACATAGAGTCTTGGATTGTAATTTGTTCACTATCTAGAGGTTGAGGAGCAACGTTATCAAATTTTTTTGCCATTTCCGGACCCACAGACGAGAAAAATCGATTGAATTCATTAGCAATGTCTTTTTTGTTTTCTAAATAATTAGTTGTTTCATTAATTTGAATTTTTTTTATTTCAAAACGATCAGCTTTTTTTGCCTTTTAATTTCGAATTTACAAAACCCCAAAGTTTCCTAGTCTTTCGCAAGTCGAATATCATTTTTAAGTTTGTTCTTAAACGACAGATATCTGTTTTTCAATGTTATATTGCCAGGATCTTTTTTATGATCACGATAAAGTTTGTCTTTAGTTTTACAAGATTTGATTAAGTCTTTAGTCATCCAATCATTGCGCATCGCGTTTTTGTTTCGACAGGTATAAATTTTAGTAGCTGAATTAATGTGAAATTTCAATTTATCAATAAAATTATCTACTGCAACATTGATATCATGCTCGTTATAAATTTCATGCCATTTTTCTAAGCTCAAAGATTTACACAGTTTATTGTAATTTGTTCTAGTTCGATATAACGGTTTACTTTTTAATTGGCTTGAAATCACTGTTTTTTCGATAAATAGTAAGGTACTAAGGTGGTCAGTAATATCAAAATCATACACGATTGGTTTAACATTCTCATCATTAGATAGTTTTGCAAAAATATGATCTAAACAAGCAGGGCGGTGATTTGTAACGACTCTAGTTGGTACATTTATAAACGATTGGTAACCAAGTTCATAATAGTTAGTTAAATATTCATCGACATAAGCATTATCTAAAAGTATATCTATATTTATATCACCAACTACTATATGATTTTTCAAAGTTCTATTTTCTAGTAAATGATCATGTAGATCGTTAATAAATGTAGAGATTAATAAAGCGATGTCATATAAAATTTATCGTTATCTAAAGTAAACTCAGTAAATAAAGCTTTTATTTTGCCTACAGAAATGATTTTGTTCTTATGTTGTATCTCATCCGAAACATAAATGCAAGTACCATCGCATTTATTAATTTCGCTATTTATAAAATGAAAACTATAATTTTCTATTTCATAAAAATGTGGAAGTACAATTCTATGAGTTTCAGTACATACAATAATGTCAGGCATTTTTTTCATTGACTTTATCGCAACTTTTAAATTTTCAAAGTTTCTATTTAAACTTCTGATGTTAACATGTAATATAAGACAACCATTTTTTTCTGTTACTAAATCATCTAATCGCAACAAACTATCACATTCATGTGTTACTATTTCATTGACTTGATTGCTTATTTGGTTTAATATCATAATAGTTTGAGTTTAGGAAGATTGTCAAAGTTACTTAATTGTATTCAGTTTGAGCCATTGCACGTTTCTTATAAAACTGGAAGGTCTCACAAACATTCTCCTCGAAAGCATAGTGTTTGTGATCTCTTTCAGTTTTGTATTTTAAATTCGACTGTAAACAGTTTGTACACTGTTTGTTTTCTTTATTCGGACATGCAGTACCATCGTGGTTGCCCGCGCAGTACTGACATCTAGTTTGATTTGTACACTTTTTCGCGCTGTGACCGTAGCCAGAGCACTTATAGCAACGGCTCACATTGAAATCCTCGTACACGCGGCAATGCTGCCATCCCACATAAAGTGTTCCGCTGCGCATCGTCGCGTGGTACAACTTTGGTGCTAGTTCGACAAAAATGCAGCTGTTGTTTTTCTTTTTGTTTTTCCGGACATGAATGATTTTTAAGTCGTCGGGAGAGGCGGATTCAAAATTCTGAGAAAGAATTCGATCTGAAAGGGTTACCGGATCTACGTCCTCACAAACATCGACTACCTTGACTCGCGGTTTTCTCATATTCAATGTTTTGATTTCACAGTTCAAGTTAGCTATTTTCTGGATCTCCCTGACCATTGTTTCATTGTTCTCTACATTATTGCACTTAATCATGACCGAACCGTTTTTTACTTCTCTGACAGTGTCGACCGAAATGTTTAAATCTTGAATATTGTCTTGCGATTTGATCTTTGTAATTATAGTACCCTTTGGTGTTTGTTGTGTCGGTTTTATAATAATCGGCGGCACTTTTTTTTGATTCGAAAGAGCTTTAGCGTATGACATAACACTTGTTTTACTCGCGTCCCGTTCAAGGTCACGAATTTTTTCCTCAAGCAAAAGATTTCGCTTTTCCATTTCAACAAGAAGCCTTTTTGAAAGGTCGAGTTCATTTTTCACGTGTGCAAGAAGCGACGAATCACTATCATAGACTTGGGTACAGCAAAGGACACGCGTACCGTCAATGAAGGAGATATTTTTAGCTCTGTCCATACATGACTTGTGGTAAATCGAACCACAATTGATACAAACAAAATTTCCAGCTTTTTTTGTTTTACAACACTTAAAATATGCCTCCTCCATTGCAACGATGCGGACCTCCGATCGGCGTGCAAAGAGCAGGAAACAGTGGAGCGAAGAGAGACGTCTCGACGAACCGAATTAAATTTTTGGATGGACTATAACTTATAAAATCACATTATCTTTTCAAAATATTTATACTTAATCTTATCTTATTTATCTTTTCAATATATTTATACTTAAGACAAAACTGTTTAGTTTCCACATAAACACGGAAATTTCCACGCAACCGTCCGCGCAAACGTTCGATCTTGAACTGTATGATATTAGTAATTTATTCAGATTATTTTACGAGTTCCGTACAACCTATATGTGTTAATAAAGAAAACACAGAAATTCGAATATAACCTTATGTATCTTTTTAATTTTAGGTTATCATAATATACTGCATAAAATGATTCAACATTTGTTGCAAGGATTGTGGAAATCCTAGCAAAATCCAATCAGATCATTATACCTTAAACATTAACATTTTATCTTAAACATTAATTTTAATTTAGGGTTCGTAACAGATACATCATCAATAAAATGGAATACCAAAAGTTAGATGTTGGTACAAACTGCGACATAGTTAAAAGACCGTGCACCAACGAATTGTGGAAGCTACACTCTTGCATGTTCGTCTTGGCCAGAGAGAACTGAAGTAGTACGAGACGGAACTGTTATTATCATAAGATCGTCAGTCCCAAGAGTGGTTGTATACGTATCTCCACTTTTCCTATCCTGACCTAAACTTCTCTTTTCCCTAAAACTAGAACAACCCGCATCCTTAACTATTTGCGAACAGTAATCTAATCTAGATTTGCCTCTACCCCTCATAACTCCTGCTTCTACCTCTAATATGTCTCTGATTAGACCTTCATGCCTAAGATGGAACTGTAACCCTGATTATAACCACATGTTATAACTTCCTCCTCTTTATCCAAGTATTATTAAGTAGAGAGTTTCGCCTCATACAGAGCCAGCCAGTTCTCGACTGATCAATGTTACAGCCAATAAAGCATATACGAAGAAGCTATTTCAGAGTGTAATACAGAGCCAGCCAAATTTTCAACTGATCAATGCCACAGCCAGTGAAGCTGGTCTCTTTCTTCTTTGTCAAAGTAGGTAAAATGTTAGAGACTGCTTTTATCACGAATCCTGTGAGTTTTTAGCACTTCAATTGGTCCCCTTTTCACTGTGCGAATCACGCATCGCGACTTCTCCTTACGTTTCTCCTTCATGTCTATGTGTTTGCAATCGACGGACCCAACCTAAAGGGAAGAGAAAATCTATCTTCGTTCTTTTATTTAAACTGTGAATAATCTATTCTTCTTGTAATCTCTATTGCGAAGATCCACACTCTCGGCGACCTGTCCGTTTCCCTTTACAACCCCGAACGATCCCAGTAACTGAACTTGGACGCGAGAAGAATTTCTTTCTCTATTCTATAATTTGCCAACCGATAGCTCGATCTCGCTCGTGATACTAAGACTAACCAGATGACCGCTGACAGTTAGTTGGAGCTGCGATGTTGAACAAAAACTGCGCTATTTTAGATGAAGATTGTTTCTGTCTTACACGTTGTGTACACAATACAGTACAGTACAATTTCATACATTAAATTCCCTTATTTTGTGTATACATGTGTACGTGTAAGTAAGTTGATTGCATTTTTGTGGAAAACTCGAAATAATGTCATTGCACTGATAAGTCATTCTCATTAACGTCATTAGATCTCTTTGAAGGTGTATTAATTTCGATGACTCACTTTAAGTAATCTGGAAAGATCCTGGTCGCTGATAACCTTTTCGTCAACCCTGCGACCTGACTTCTCCCTCCACTCCATCATTTTAAAAGGGCACGTATATGTATTTATAGTATCTCACAATCATTTTACTTATCAATATCTAATAATAATAGTAATAATAATGGCAAGAATCAATCAAATATCTTCCTGGAATGTAAAACAACTATCAAAGATGTATGTGTGAAAGTTCAATAGTCACCTATTAAGGTATCAATTACAGTTTGATAATGATCGAGCGAAGATTATTTTATTACAATTGAGTGGCACCCGTCCCGAATAAATAAACACTACGTATTTGATTTTCAACGAGAACTGCACTACTATTGTTATTCCGATGTGGATATTCTAAGAAGAGGCTGCTTGGAATTTCGAAAGGAGTTCTTGGAGAACGCTAACACTAATACATTACAATAACTTAGATGGTGATCGTTGCATAGCTATTTGCAGATCAAACTATACACCACAGGAAACGATTGCTGTTGCAGAGGAAAAACCGAAAGACACATACAGCCGAGGTTCGATAACGTGGCTAAACTCGTACAGTAGTGTACGTGAATCCCTAAACGGTGGTGAAACAACAATATACGGTAACAAACTTGATAGTTATGATAATCTCACAAATACAGTTTATCAGTACCACGGGTTTTTTGGCAAGGGTGTACCAAATGCTATCGTCCCATAAGAATTAATCATGATATCTCTTTCCTAATTTACCTTTCAGTCGTCGTTCGGCAGCCGCACTGTTCGGACGTGTCTTTATTTTCTTAACAGCACTACAACGAATCGAAAAGTCGTAAGTGAGCGCGCGTATAAGTCGATAGAGGCGTAGTCAACGCGGCAAAATGTTTAACGCTAACGAGGCCCCGCAAACCCCAGGTCAATCGAAACATGGGTGGATCACAGTGGGTAATAATAAAAAAAGAGGCAGAAATAGCCCTGATTCGTTTAAAGTTCCAAATAAACGGCAGTCTACCATAACAGACTATTGGCTGGGAGGTACTGAAACGTCCAACTCCTTCAGTCCTCTCGGCGATAATCAGGACGATAACAATTCCGAGGAAAAATCCTTCCAGGATAACACACCAACCAGAAAGCCACCTCCGATATTCGTCTGCAAGGTCAACGTCGTGAAACCACTGCAGCAACTACTGGATGAAGTCGCCAAGGAGCAGTATAGCTTCAAGATCATCGGTACAAATCGAATGCAATTTATCGCCTTTCATATTTTCCAGAACAACTAAAAAAAGGGCAAATAATCCTTATTCCGAAGCCTGGAAAAGATCCAACAATAGTTACCTCGTACAACCCATAAGTCTACTTCCAGTGTTTTCAAAAATAATTGAAATTACAATATCAAACAAATTAAATAAAGTTATTGAAGAAAAAGAACACATTCCAAATTATCAATTCGGTTTTCGCAAAAAACATGCTACCATCGAACAAGTAAATAGAATAACTACAATAATAAGAAAAACTTTCGATAAAAAGGGGTACTGTAATGCTGTCTTCTTAGATGTGTCGCAAGCTTTTGATAGAGTATGGCACGAAGGTCTTATTTTTAAATTAAAAAAATACTTGCCAATCAAACTGGCAGAACTGCTGAAATCATATTTGAGCGACAGAACATTCAGAGTTAAGTTTGGACAGCAACTCTCATCTTTTTTCGCTATTAAAGCAGGTGTACCGCAAAGCAGCATCCTTGGACCTACGCTTTATCTATTATATATGGCTGATTTTCGCACATTTAACAACATCACCATCGCGACCTACGCCGATGATACAGCCATGATACATACTAACAGTGATGAAAAGGCAGCTTCAGAAGTGTTACAAAAAGGTTTAAAAATAGCTGATAACTGGTATAAAAATTGGAGAATAAAAGTAAATGAGGATAAATCTACTAACGTCACTTTTACTCTATGTAAAAGTAATTGCCCGCCGGTTAAGCTGAATGAGAAAATTATTCCGCAACAAAACAAGGTTAAATACCTTGGTATGCATCTTGATCGTCGTCTTAGCTGGCAGGATCACATCTGTAGTAAGAGAAAACAGCTTAATCTAATTTTTAAAAAAATGCACTGGTTATTAGGAAGAAGATCTCAAATGTCAATAGAAAACAAAATTCGTTTATATTTGACTATCCTTAAACCAGTATGGACTTATGGAATTCAACTGTGGGGCACCTCATCGAAATCAAACATTAATATTATAGAAAGATTTCAAACTAAAACCTTAAGAAATATCCTCAATGCTCCATGGTATGTGCCAAACGATCAAATCTATAAAGATCTGAAAATTCCACCTGTTCAAGCAGAAATTCTACGACACTACTACAGCTACAAAAAAGGGCTATCAGTTCATCCAAACCAGCTTGCCAGAAAATTACCAACTTTAAACAACATGAAATCAAGATTGATACGTTATAGAACAATTGAATAATAAATTTTCTATTGTAAACATTGAAACAAAGTAATCATCTATTTTATTTTATTATATGTAATTTGTGTACGGTCAATGGACTGTTACCAAGACGATATTATTTGACCTCTGTACATTGTTTTATTTTTATATCTATTTGTAATATAAAATTTGCTTATTGTCCTAAAAGGACAGATTGTAAATAAATTAGAGTTAAAAAAAAAATTTACCTTTGCACTTCATAGGAAGATAGAACCCTTGGAATTTTGTATTAACCCATTTTGGCCGTTATTCGGTGTATGGGTTCCGTGTAGCTTTTTCGCGTTTTACAAAGTCGACCGAATATATCCCCGAACCATAACAAATGCAATTGCTTATGATGACTGCAAATTTCAGGAAAATGAAAAACATAATTTTAGAAATTACGGACACTGTGTGACAGTATAAATACATGCACTAAAGAAGTAACTATTACTACAGATCACCCATTATTAGGTTTTAAATATTCCAATGGTTTTGTATCAATAACGACTTAAACAAAGGTGTTTGCCCTTCAACTTCATGTATTAAAATCCTCTTAGCTTTGAATTATCCGCAATAGCGCCTGTCTTGAATAGAGACAATCATGTGGTTATCCCAGTAGAAATTATTATTTGAATAAACTCGAAGTTCATTATAGGACTGTATTGGATTGATTTTTGTGATCCTCTCACTACCAATGTATCAACCTGTATTTACTCTTGTTACACATTTAGAAAACGAGATTATTGTATCTATTAATTCGTTTGTAGACGTAAATAAAATCCCTAAATTATTTACATTATATCTCGTAAGAATCTCCTACCCTCATAATATTTATTACAACTGTTGTATCGTTTTTCTGTTTCTGTTCCGCACTA